CAGGCTGGGCGTGGTAGTTCACAGCTATAATCCCAGCACTTTGGGAGGCCAAGGCGGGCAGGTCACCTGAGGTCAGGAGTTCAAGACCAGCCTAGCCAACATGGTGAAACCCCATATCTACTAAAGATACAAAAATTAGCTGGGCGTGGTGGTGCACGCCTGTAATTCCAGCTACTTGGGAGGCTGAGGCAGGAGAATTGCTTAAACCTGGAAGGCGGAGGTTGCAGTAAGCCCAGATCTTGCCACTATACTCCAGCCTGAGCGACAGAGTGAGACTGTCTCAAAAAAAAAAAAATATTAAAATCAGTCTGAAAAATTCACCTGAGTGTAATTACTCCTGCGTTGATTATGTACCTACATTTAGACGTGCTACAAATTCTTAAATACTGTTCAAAGTTGTTAAGAGTAAAGACATTTTGAATCACCTCTTTGTGTACAATTCATAAATTTATAGGGCTATATTTAGACCTTTAATCAAATATACATTTCACAGTCAATGTGGTAACTTTTTGAAGTTTAATAGCAACAAATTGGCTGGACAGGGTGGCACACACCTGTAATCATAGCACTTTGGGAGGCTGAGGTGGGTGGATTGCTTGAGCTCAAGAGTTTGAGACCAGCCTGTACATATGATGAGACCCCGTCTCTACAAATACAAGAAAAATTAGCTGGACATGGTGGCACATGCCTGTGGTGCTAGCTACTCGGGAGGCTGAGGCAGGAGGATTGCTTGAGCCCAGGAGGTCCAGGCTGCGGTGAGCCTAGATCACACCACTGCACACCAGCCTGGGTGACAGAGCAAGACCCTGTCTCAAAAAAAACTCAAATGTATTAACAACTTCACGCTAATGTTTGAGTGCCTGTTAGGTACCATGTTTTAAGAGACAGGCCTTATTACTTCATCATCCTGCTGAGGAAGCTGAGATTTAGGAACCTTAGCTGAGAGGTTAAGGAACCTCTTCCAGGTCATTCATTCTTTTTTTAATTTTTCTGAGACGGAGTCTTGCTCTGTCGCCCAGGCTGGAGTGCAGTGGTGCAATCTCGGCTCTCTGCAAGCTCTGCCTCCCGGGTTCATGCCATTCTTCTGCCTCAGCCTCCTGAGTAGCTGGGACTACAGGCGCCCACCATCACACCCAGCTAATTTGTTGTATTTTTGGTAGAGATAGGGTTTCACCATGTTAACCAGGATGGTCTCGATCTCCTGACCTCGTGATCCGCCTATCTCAGCCTCCCAAAGTGCTGGGATTACAGGCGTGAGCCACCACACCCAGCCCAAGGTCATTCATTCTTTTAACTTGTATTTATTGAACGCTTTATGTCGTACACTGTTCTAAATGCTAGGGTTGCAGGCGTGAACAAGATAAGCCAGGTCACTATGGTCGTGGAGTTTGCATTCTAGTAGAAATAAATGTTTTATGTGATATTAGCTATGAAGAAAACAATAAAAGCAGAATGATATGAGGCGTTACACTAGGCCAGTTAGTGTGAAAAGGCCTCTGTGAAGAGGTAACGTTTGAGCCAAGATTAAAATGAAGGCGGGAGGAGTCACATAATTACTCTATCCCAGGTCTCCTATTACTTGTTCTGTGATCATTACGGGAAGTCCCCTATTTTGGTACATTTTACATATCTGAAAATGAAAGAGCCAAAAAATAAAATCAACCGGGATTAAAATTTGAACAGAAGCTGCCTCTCTTCCACCCGGGTAACCTAAAAGCGGGGGATCGGAATGGTATCGAGTCCCAGGCACTGTGGGGCAGGAAATGAGTGTATCTATTGCTGCATAACAAATTACCCCAAAACTCTGTGACTTAAAACAACAACAATCATTTATTATTTCTC